CTACTTAGTAAGTGAGGTAGGCGGTGCCAAGATGGAAGCTTCCTGTGGGAGTCATGAACTGCCCAATACTTAGGATTCAGGCTCCTTGTGGTACCTTGCGTCTCCTGGGACTGAACTCCTAGGAGGGGTCAGCGTTTATACTGAAATGTTTCATAGTGACATGTTTCTGGCCAGATTTGAGACTCTGCTGTTTCTGGCAGTGGAGGCAGGTAGGGCTCTTACAACTCCCATTTTCCCTTGCCCCATTTCATCTTCTAACTTTTGATGTCTGCAAGTAAAAAGATTGTTAGCTGAAAAAGAAGGAAGAATTTTGCTGTGGGGGTAGTGAATGGTGTGGGGGGAAGGGAGAAAGATTTGGACTGTGCGAGTCATGGGAGCTGTTTTGGGGTCCAGAGGTCCATGATCTGCAGTGTGTGTTTTTGTGTATATCTGCACGTGGTCGAGGTGGGGGTGGAGTCTTCCCCGCCTTGGCACGAACTCCCAGTGTGACCCAGGAAGCCACAGCAGAGCGGCAGAGTGCAGCATCATAGCCGGATAGAGGAGTTCTTAGGAGGACACCACATTGCTGATGCTGCCCAGGTGTCCCTCTATCAAATGACGCAGGGGCAGTGGGCACAATGAGGAGACCCATGAGAATAAGATGTTAGATTAGTTCCTAAGCACAGCCACTGAAGGGGTCTCTGACATCTTTGGAGGCGACAGGTAGGGAGTTGTCAGTGGTGGCCAAAGTCTTGGATGAGCAGAAGAGGCTAGGGTTGAGACTGAGAGGTTCATGTCTGACTCCTCACTTGTACCCCCAGGCTAGTGCAGCCCGGGGTAGTTTGGGTCTATACGAATATCCAGCCAGCATGGTCAAGCTCCAGCTTGCAATCATGGCATGTTCCTCCCCACGTTCTCCTCCAACAGGAGTCACTTCCTTGCCCTCTGTTACTATTTTATGGTCCTATGTCTTGCAGACAGAACCCTGAGTTAAAGACTTACTGAACCCCCAAGGAAAGTGAGAAAAGAATGTTTGTTTGAATGAACTGAAACTCTGTAGAGTTGCAAACAGATACCTTGAAATGGCAGCTTCCGAGGAGGGTGCAGACTGAGGGCCACCACACCGTTTGGGAGACATCTGGAAAGTATGGGCCACTGGGCAGCTGGGACCCTTTTGTCGGCTACTCTGAGGGAGACTCTTCCTTCTTATTCTCTGCAGATTTGGGATAACGTCGATATTTCTGCTCTCCTGCAGGTGGCGCCACAATGTAGGTTTTCAAGCAGCTGAAGGCCTGAGGTTTTTCTCCCGTGCACTCTAGGAGACCCAGCCAAGGGGCAGCACTTAGGGGGAGAATTTTTGCCTATAGCACCAGCAGGCTCCGGTGATTTGTTTAACGAGCAAATCTGGCTTTTATCAACGTAAATAGCAGCTCTGTTCCTAGGCTAATAAAATGGTGGTAGCTAAACGAAAGAAAACTTAAAAAATTTCTTCTCTCTCCTATTAAATCTGATCTTTTTATTAATCCATGAGAGGCGAGTCCATATGTTTTTTTCCCCAAATCTGGCCATAAACCACAACCCCCTCCCCACCTCCTCCTGAGGAACAGGACTCTAGGAAGCAATACGCCATTCGCTTCTCCCTCTTGTGGCCATGGGGCCCGGCAGTGACCTGCCCAGTTTCACCAGCAGGCTAGGGGAGGAGTGGATGACTCAGAGACTGTTGTCAGCAGGAAACAGCTAGATGGCCTTTCGCAACTCTTTGCCCCTCACCAGGTGGGGCTGGACAGAGGTGAGAGAGCTAAAGGACCGGGACCTAATGCAGAAACATGCTTTGAACCATTATATACTGCTGCCTTTTCCACAGGGTCTGTTCACATAGAAGTCAAGAAAGCAGAGGACCCACTCTTGTTGCATTGTATCAATTCACAAAAATGTATGTCCATCTGAAAAGTAGTGGTAACTCCTTTATGTGTGTATTGCACTTGTCTGAGAGTTTCAAAGCCCCAACAGATCATGTCTCCTGTGTCCCCTTTGGGTGTTGCTATAACTGTAAGAGGTAATGTGGCAGGTGAGAGACGGAGTCTCATTGGGAGCATGTGGCCTGCTCCCCCGGCCCTTGGGCATTGCCCGGAGTGATGCTGATCAGTGCCAAGCCAGGAGTAGGATGCAGCTCTTGGGGCCTCCAGTGTCGTGACCCTACTCATCCCCTGAAGCCAGTCTTCAGACTTGGGTGAGAAGATCCAATGAGCTGTCATCAAGCCCCATGCTGGGGCAAGTTTGGCCTTCCTTCTCTTCCTGCCAAGGATGCTCTGCTGTAGCTGTCCCTGAGGGACGCCTTTCTCTGTGCTGTTCAGGACAGGGAAAGGGAGGCAAGGTAGTGTGCGGTGGCACCCCACTGAGAACAGGAGAGCCAGTGGAACTCCTCACCTGCCTGTTGTTGGTCCAGCTTTTTGCGTGCTTGCTCTCTGCCATTTGGCTCTGTGTTACTCTTCAGACACCGCATGGCATTCATTCCCCTGAATGAAAATAAATGACACAACCTGCTAGGCAGGAGATAAAGAATAATAAACATTTTATTTGCCACCTCTGAAAAAGAATGGTCTTTGACTTCTGGCTCATCTATCAGAAAATGGGTGTGGTGCTCTCAGCTGTATTCACACACACATGCATGTGCGGCACATACACACGCATGCACACATGCATACTCATGTTGCAAGGGGCAGAGAAGAGTCATATGGTGTTAAAATACATGCTGGAATGACTGACTGAGAAGCGGGGCAGAGCTATTTTTGCACTTCCTCCTCCCTTGCACATTTTTATGGCAGGCACTGAAAGCCCAGTGGCAAGCAGACATTTGAGAAGATCCTCCCTTCTGCATTTATTGAACCACATCCCTTAAGCAATCCACTAGGGCTTTCCTGGGACTCTTGGACACAGCCTATGATGGTCCCATGTGGTGCTTTTAGAGGCAACCCCTGGAAGCAGGACAAGGTGTGTGAGGCCTGCTTTATCCAGATGAGGTGAGGATCCCCTTTGACTTTGCATCAGGTGCCTTGCCAGCCTCATGCGAGTCCCTGTCCTGTATAGACAGACCTTAGGCCCTGAAGCATTCTCAGCCCTGGAAGAATGTCAAAGCGGCAGCAGCATTGAGTTATCTTATTGTGTGTTTCTTTGACTTCTGAAACTAACTTGATATTGTGTGCTTTATCTGAAGTCTGGGATCCAGGCTAAGAAGAGAGGAGCCAGATCAATGTTTTAACTTAAGCTAATATGATAATCCTTGCTGCTTTCTGGGTCGTGCAGTACTCAGCAGAGGACCAGAGACTAATGGGGCTCCGCACTGTCTCCTGGATACCCTTTAACCAAAGACTCAAATGTCTGCTTGCCTTCCACTCCAGCTTGATTCATTTCCTCCTCATCAGCGAGAGTGAAGTTTCAATAAGGTCCCGTGGGGGTGAGCCCAGCCTGACCCACAGGTGCTTCTGGCCTCAGGGCTATGGTCACCCCAAAGATTATTTCAAAGTCTTCCAGTTTGCAACTGTGATTTCTACAAAAATATAATCACTATAGGAAGATGTAGAAATTTATGCTGGTGGATATCATTTCTACCCCATAGGAAGGCTCCCAGATGTTTGGAGGGGAGGGTAAGTGGGGAGGGGCTTGCTGGGTGGGAAGAAAAGTTAAATTGAAGAGGTGGGTGGGGGCAAAAACGGTGGGCTCCTCTAGCAGGCCATTTTTGATTGGTGCCCATGGGGAACTACTGTAGGAGTGCCATGAGGGAGGTATATGCAGTCAGGTGAGTAAATAAGGTAGCATCCTGAGGTTTCTTTTGACCAGCGAGGCACATTGGGTGGGCTGTGCAGAGGTTTCCTAAGTATTGCCATCCACTTCCTGTCCTCATGGATTTCCTCTTTGACAGATGGCTGTCTAAACCAGGACAACCTTGAGATTTCTTTCTTAGGGCTACTGAAACTCCCCTGATGCGGGCATTATCCGTCTGGATTGTGGTCTGGGATCTAGGGTTTCAGAAAAGAGCACAGCCAGGTCAGCCTCTTTGTGCAGACAGACAGACAGATCAGGTTACCCAGCGAGCTCCAGGGCGCTGGGGCATTCACGCTGCCTGGTGCAGTCCTTCTGTCCTTGGTCCTGGCCTCTTCGGTTGCCCCGCAGAGGTGCCATCATGGGTATGTGTGGTCATTCTGATTAGGAGTGGATGTATACTTTGGCCTCAGCGTGGGGGTGTCAGCTCTGAACACCTGAGGGTCCCTCTGACCGTTCGCGCCCATGTCCTCTCCTTCTCGGGAGGCCGAGTGTGCTTTACTCTAAGCGCGCGCACTGCAGCTCAAGTCACCATGTATTCGCCCCTGTGCCCCACATTGGCACTGCCAGGGTGTCTTGGGGCAGGCGGAGGGGAACCCAGGAGAGTGTGGGCTAGCGTCCGCGCGGAGAGCGGGCGAGCCGGCGGCTGCGGGTGTGAGCTCCAGGGGAGGCGCCCCCTGCCCCCTCTGCCGGCCGCTCTCCCTCGGTCTCTGTGCAGCCGCGAGCTCCGAGCCAGCGAGAGCGAGCCAGAGAGGGAGCGGCGGGCTGCGGGAGAGGAGGGGAGTGGAGGAGGCGAGGGAGGGAGGAAGGGAAGCGGGGAGGGCGGGAGGGAGGAGAGGAGGACCCAGAGAGCGCCAGGCAGCTGGAGTTTTTGCAGCGCTTGGCCGGGCTTCAATGCACAGCAGCAGCGAGCCGCGGCGGCAGCAGGCAGCCCGGGAGCTCCGGCGGCGGCCGAGCCAGCGGCGGCCCCGCTCCCTGCCCCCTGCAAACTTTGCGAGCGGCCCGCGGGGGGGCCGGGGGCACGCCCGGGAGGCCCGGCTCGGACAGCGGCCGACTTCTCGGCCGCCGCAGCGCCCGCTTCCGCCGCCGCAGGCCCGTGCCTCCCCGGGGAGCAGCCGGCGGCTCCCGCGGACCCCCTGCCCCGGCCCTTGGGCATTGCCCGGAGAGTCCCTCGGCAGGGGCGGGGGCAGCAGCGGCGCGGCTGGCCACGAGCTGCCGGGGGACGGCCGCGGCTGCCCAGCGAGGCGCACAGAAGCGCAGAGAGCGCTCCCCGGCGGGTCCCCAGAGCACTCGCCTAGCCCGGGCAGCGGCCCGGCCGGGCGAGCATGGGCGGCGCGGAGTGACGCCGCCGTGCCCGCTTGGCATCAAGGACATTCAGCCCGCGGGGGTGGGGACGAAGGGGGGCAGCCCCACGTCGCCACCGCAGCTCCCGAGAGCCGGCGCCGCCGCCGCTGCTTGGGCTCCGGGCTGGGTTGAGGAAAGGGGTGCCTGGAATCGATCCACATTTCCCGACCTTTTTGTTGGACACTACGCGCACCTTGGACGCTGCAAGAGGAGCTGTCAAGCCCCGCAGGCACTGATTTGGCCCCCTCCGTTTTCCTTTGCTGCTCCCGGCTTCCCTGTGTCTCGGTGGAGTATTTGCGTTTGGGGCTGGGGCTGGAGGAGGCAGCCACACGCGCGCACACGCACACGTTCAGAGGAGGGCGAGAGGCAGCGGCACAGGCACCATCTGCAGTGTCAATGCGGCGCTCCCGCTAAAGGAGGGAAACGCGGCGCTTCCAGGTAAGGAGCCGGCCAGCCGGGCGCGGGGCCGGGAGGGCGGCAAGGGCAGCGCAGGCGGAGATACCCTGGCCTGCCCCGGAGTCCTCGGCTGCCCCGGAGCCAGCCGGTTACACACACACACACACACACACACACACGCGCGCGTGCACACAAATACACACAGGCACACACTGCGCTCACGCACCTGCCCACGTCCCACCTGGACACCGTCGTAGGTGCAGCGCGGCCGGAGCAGGGATTTCCCATGTTCTTTCTCCTGTCACACTCCTGGACTCAAGACTTCTCTTACCCAGGACTTTCGGGGTGGGATTCAGTGGATGACTGGTTCTCCCTCCCATCAGGGTAGGCTGAGGGAGTGATTTTTCAGTTTCCAGCCCCTTTCATCCCTAGCTTTTTTTTTTTTTTTAAATGGGAAAGTCATGGGAGGTCTTCAGAGACCCGCCCAAGTGTAATCGTTCTTCCGTGGCCTTTGGACACCTTGTGATTTTAAGGGTAGACGCACTGCTGGATTTGGTTCGGACAGGTTTTTGGAGCGTGTGGCCGCCCGCTGCTCGGGGAGGAGGCCACATAGGCGGATGGGGCTGCAGTTCTGCAGGGCGGTGCATGTGGAACAGACACTGCGTTTCCCCAGTAAGAGGCAGCACAAGCGCCCTTCTGAAGCATGGCACAGCTTGCAGGGAATGCGCCGGGATTTCAGCGAGGAAGGGGCTTAAGCATCGCAGTGCACAGGGAGTGTAGCTGGTCTGAGGAGGTTACGGGTCAGATTCTCCATCATAGACATGACCTTACTCACATTGTCAGTCCCTGGGACACCGCCAGCAGAGAGGGCTTGGGGATCCAGGACTCAGTCTCTTCCTCATCTTGCTACCCTTCCCCGGATACATGGGGCTGCTTTCCCCTGGCTCTGGCTAACACCTGTCCTATGCCAACTGAGGCGTGCTCTGAGAAAATGAAGTAGGAGGGGAAAACACAGGGTGGTAGTCCCCTCTCTCATGACCACATCGGAGTGTCCATTCTTGGCTCTGCCAGCATCCTCCAGAGCCTGGCCACTCCTGAGTGCAGAGTTGCTGTCCAGAAGCCAGGGATTCAAGCTTCTATTTCCCTAATTTTTTTCCTTTCCTTCTCTCCTTGGCTGGAGTTTCACAGGGTGCTCATCTTCAAAGTTTTCCTGAAGGAGGTAGGAGGTGGGGAGTTCCAAAGGGGCTTTTTCATAGCTCCCATTTTGGGGTCTAAGAGTAACTTATTGGGGTGCTCAGTTGTTGCAGAGAGAAGAGTGGGAGAAGCAAATAAAATAATATTTAGAGGTTGGATATACATACAGTCAAGCTCCTGTGTTTCCCTAGCTGTCCCTTTGAGGTTGCTTTTCAGGCAACCGGACCAAAAGAAGTGGGATAAGCTTGTACCTTTTATATAAGATCAGGTGTGCAGAGTGTCCCACAAATACACCAGTGGAAAAAAATATGTTGGGAGTCTTCCGGAACGGGAGGGGCAAGGAACAAATATTCTTTTGAACAAGGAGGCCTCCATGCTGGGCACAGAATTTGGGTTACTTATGTAAATCCTGAAAGATGGATGCAGAAATAGGGGGCTTTTCTTGTGCCTCCAGATCTGCTATTTTCAAACTTTTTTTCAGCTCTTGCAAAGGTTTCTGGCTAGGCTAGGGAGAAGAGCAGACGCCCCAGGAGGGAGATTGTATTCCCCGCTGTGTGAGGTGTGAGCTGTCCTTTGATTGATTGAAAAGGGTAGACAGAATAAAGCAAAGCTCTCACAATGGGGAGATCCCAGCCAGGGGAAGAAACATTATTTTCTTTTTTAAGAATAGTGGACACATGCGTGCACAGTCACACACTCCAGATGCACACGGATTCTCAGAATCTGAGCAAATGTGGTCAACTTGTCCAACCATGTGTGACAGTGGGGTTTACTTCTGTCTTCCTGGCTGTAGAAAAACTGGCACATTTCTGCATGCGTACCCTTTGAGTGCGTAGACAGGGAGGTTCCACATATGCGTATGGCGGCGGCACATGGTTTGCAGCAGAAATAGTGAGCTCCTGCAACAGTGGATGCCTCTCAGGTAAACATTCCCTCACAGCACCTGTCAGGGGCAAAAGGTTGGGGTGCAGCTCTCCCTGAATTTTTTGTGCCTCTCTCCTGTATATCTCTGCCTTTCTCTTTCCCCTTTTCCCTTTCCCATGTATTCATAACCTCAGGATCTTTCATTTTAATATCAAGCCAGCAGTCATTCTGCTGATGATAAGTTAAACACAAGGGATCAAAAATCCCCACATTTTCTGCACTTAGCATTGGATACCAATTTGGTTTCTAGGACAAGACAGCTATTAATTAAAATTGGGTGTAAAGCTGGGTGCTCATCTTTTGATTTCTTGCCTGGCTCTCTTGTCTGGCCCTGGAATATGCCACCCTGCCATTCTCCCCCTCTACTCTTCTGTGGATTCCTTGTAAGTTCTCTCGGGTCCCTGTGATGGGAAGGCAGTCAACTGCACAGGAAAAGGCCCAGCAGTGAATGCTTTCTGGGCTCCCTCTCACCGCCGCTGGGCTGTCTTTTGGTGGGTCTCTGGTGAACACAGGGAATGGGTTTCGCAGGAGCTGTTCCTTCCCAGACCCCCAAGACTTTATCCCCCAAGATGCCCATTTACACTCTGCAAACATCTCCAGAGGAATTTATCTGAGGCAGCCAGCTTGTTCTGCTTCTCCTCTGTGCTTAGCCTGCTGCATCTCCTGCAAACAGGGAAGTCTGTATAGCAGTCTGCTTACCCTTGGCCTCTGGATCCTTTAAATCACAATGAGCATTGCTGGGAATTATGTGGGGGCTTTCTAGGGTGGCAGCATCCTGGAGTGGGGAGTGTTAGGGGGATGGGCTAGCAACTGCCCTTAGCTCATAGTTATTACCAGGCTTCCATGCAAATAAATCACGGGGAGTCTCTCTCCTCCTAGCCAGCTAGGGGGCATTTGTAGCTGCTTCTCCCCATTCTCACTCAGAGAAAGCACTCACCACACAGACAATGCACATCAGAGACCTGTTGGAGTGGCTCTGTGACTGACTGTGATGAGGCGGCAGCGATACTGTAAACCCAACCACGATCTAGCTCTGCTGTGATTAATCTGTGCAACAGATGTGCCACCCTCTGCTTGCTTCTTGCTATTTGTGTCCAGTGCTACCAGGTAGGAAACTGGATGAGATCCTGGGCTGCTGCAGAAGATTCATTTCTCTTCCTTGACACCCCGCTTCTACTCCTCCAATGCTCCTTCCTTCTTTGCTTCCATTTGTTAATCCACCTCTTGGCTTTGTGTGAGCATCCACCCTCCCAATCGCCCTCAGATTTGCAGCACTCCAAGAAATCAATATAACATGAATTTAATGACAGCTGGATGATGAAATGTTATTTATGTTTAAGAGTGGCATTTTTAAAAAGATGTGGTGCTAATAAATCAAAGGGCTACTTGGGGAGATGCGCATGATTAGGGTAATTGCCCTGTGGGCTACAGTGAGCTATGCTTGGTCCACACAGAGCCTCATGGACACTGTCTCTTTAAAAGTCCCCGCTGTGCCCTCACCCTCCCTGAATGCTTTCCTGCTCCTTTCTGCTGTCCCAACTTACTCTTCCGTCGCCTGTCCTTGCTGCCTAGGCTGCAGCATCCTAGTTGTGAGAAAGGTGGAGCCAGCCAGAGACTGAAGGGGGCTCTGCTGCTAAGTGGTAAGAGATGGATCTTAAAAGGAAAGGCAGGCAGGGGGTCTTAATTCCTGATCAGAGGCCTTGTTCCTGAAGGAGGAGGCTGCTGCTCTGTTTGGTAAGAAGCAGCTGGGCAGAAAAGCTTCTGGAGTCCTACACAAGGACTTTGTCCTCTGATCGTCACTCTCCCCAGGGAAGAGGCTATGCAGACATAGCATTGGTTTTAATCCTTATGGAAACAATGGATTGGAAAATAATACTAATAGTAATGACAACGGTAGTTAGTATTTATGGAGTATTTCCCAGATAAGATATCATTTAATTACTTTGCATGGCTTGGCTCCTTTATTCCTCAGAACCACTCACCTGAGAAGTAGTTGTTATTGTATCCCCATGTCTTCCATGATGAAACTGAAGTGAGAGAGGTTAAGAACTTTATCCAAGGTCACATGGTAGCCAAGTGCTGGAGCCAGGTCTCAATCTGACCTGCTTCTGTCACTATGCTGCTTGCCTCCTTAGAATATATGTGCTTGGCTTGTTGTCACCACCCTGGGAAGCTTGTGGCATAGGGTGCTGGGGGCAGATTTAGAATATCTGGCCCAGCCCCTCCCTTGGATTGCCTCTAACCCAGGTAAATATATTTTATTTATTCTTGGAACCTCACTATCCCCATTCTTCAAAGGAGGATGAGTCTCATTCTTGGCTGTGGGCAAATTGTTAAGTTGTGTGGATCTTCCTAGCAGAGTGCTCTGTTCTTCAAGGTAATTGTTTCCTCATTTGGCAACTCCCATTTTCTCCTGGGAAAAACTAAGGAGGAGCAAGTGAGTGAGGTCCCAATCTCTGCTTTTGATTCTTACAGACTCCAATTGTGGTAGGAGTCTGGTTCTCCCTAGTGACTGCTTCAGATTGCTGGTAATGTGGAAATGACCCTTTCTCATCAAGTCCTGAAAATAAGTCTGTAAGGTAGGTATTGTGGATTCCCATTTTGATGGCAGAGGAACTTAGGCTGAGAAGAGAGTTTAAGGGAGAAGCCCCAGGCCCTAGGTTGCTAAGCAACAGATCACTGCATTCTTAACATCGCACTGCTCCCAGTATGTATGCTTCAAACTTGTTCTTTCATTCATTCACCAGCTCTAGGGATTCCAGATTTTGGGATCCAGAGGCAGGGAGATGTCATGCCATGCTGGGTACCTTGGAGATCCTATGATAGTTGAGGCAGAGACTCATTAAAAGCTAGTACCCGTGGCCTGTCTAGGGAAAATCATTCTGCAGCACTTCATGGAATTTTGACAGGTCCCCATGCTCACA